TCTGGAATACTGTTCGGAGGGGAATAATTTCTGCAGCTCCAACTTTCAGAAAATAGCTTTCTGATTAATGAAAAATATTGTCCTTTATTCTCCAGCGTCCTGCTACCAGCTAATTACCTATAAGAAAGAGGACAGACCATCCATTAGAGAAAATTGAAGCATTCTCATCTAATTTGAAAGTATAGGGAGGTCACTCTGATGGTTTCATATTGGTATTTGGAAAGTGAAGAGTTTTACTGAGGTACCGTGTAAGATAATGGCCTCAAACTAGCTAGCCCAGGCTGGGTGGATGTTATTAGAGCTCAGTATATTACCATAGGCTTTGAATAACAAGAGACACTGGCTGTTTCTTCCTCAGAAGTATTAATAAGCCCTCATTTCAACAGCACTTCGGTTTTCTTCTTTCTAATCTATGTATCCTTTTAATTGACAGATAAAAATTACATATATTTATCATATACAACATGATGTTTTGAAATATGTATACAATATGGAATGGCTAGGTTGGGCTAATTAATGTATGCACTACCTCAGACTTTTTTGTGTGTGTTGAGAACACTTAAAATCTCCTCTCTTAGTGATTTTTAAGTATACAATACATTGTCATCAACTACAGTAAGCATGCTTTATAATAGGTTTCTTGTGTTATTCCTTCTATCTAACTGAAATTTTGTGTCCTTTAACCAACATTTTCTCAACACTCCCAGCCACAGCTCCTGGTAACCACTATTCTACTCCCTACTTCTATGAGTTTTCTATTAATTTTTAAGATTCTACATATAAGTGAAGTCATCCTGTATTTGTCTTTCTGTTCCTGGCTTATCTCACTTAACAAAATGTCTTCAAGTTTCATTCATGCTGTTGCAAATGGCAGGATTTTCTTCTTTATTAAAGCTGGATAGTATTCCAGTTTGTATGTATTAGCACATTTTCTTTATCCATACATTTGCAGATGGCCACTTAAGTTGATTCGCAACACTTTCAGACATCTAGCCTTCAAAACTGAGACAATAAACTTCTGTTGTTAAGGCCACCCACTGTGTGGTACAATCCTAACTAATACATAGGATTATGGCAATCCTAACTAATGAACAGTGCAACAAACTCCACCTGAGTCCAGGGATCCTCACTGTGTCCTGGGAATTCAGCCCTATTTGCTGTGCTTCAGTCATCAGTCCCCAAAATGCAGCAGCAGAAGCTACTGCTGCTGGCATTCTGCTGACAGCCCCTTTGCAGATGCATTAGGGGCTGGATTCACACTGCCCTATTCTTGTCCAGTTGCCTGTGTGGTGCTAATGGTAGCAGAAATGTGTTTGTGTCAGTAAAAGAAGAAGAAAACTGATAATTTGAAGCCAGCCGGGTGTAGCTTCATTTCAGTTACAAGTGACTATTTTTATCAGCACTTTCTGCCTAGAAATGATCCCCTAGCTAGGCAATTTCCATAACCCTTTTAGTTACAGAGACTATATTCCTCCCTCCTCTTTCCCCCAAGTACAGAGTGTTTTGAGATCAGGAACTAATTTTTCTGGCACTCTAACTTGGGGGCTGGGGAGTTGCCTGAGTGCCAGAGAAGGTCAGGTCAACTGCTAGGCCTACTGCAAAGGCCTATGAGATAGGAGTACATTGGTGGATCTGTCTTAGTTGTCACTCTTTTCTCTAGAGGTTTAGTCAAAATAATAATCACACACCACAGGAAGAAGGAGAACTGCAACCCCTCAAATCCATTTGGCAAGTCATTTGCCATCCAGCTGAATGATATTTTCTCGCCTGCTGTGTGCAAACAGAACTCACTGTGTTAGTTAGAGGGGGAGGAAAAAGAAGTCAAGGGAAGGGGATGGTGAGAAATTAAAGAGGAAGAAGGGAATTAAAGATGAGGAAGAATGGGGAGGAATAAACAGGAAAAAAAAAGAAAGAACAATAAATGAGGAGGTCAGGCTAGAATGGCTCCAGTGTTCTCACTGCCTTTGGGGTGGAATTGAGTTGAGAAGCCCTATTGAGGGAAAGGAGAAAATGATCACCCCTGTACTGGACTATCATTTGCTAAGAACTGGTACACTTACCAAATTCCTATTCAATGCCAGGACCTTTATATACAATACATTCATTTTAATGATGAGGAAACGGAGACACCCAAAAGCCTGTTTCCAAAGCCCATGCTCATTTCACTCCTCCACACTGCCTCTCATTTGGTTCAGGCATGCATTTCTATGTGTTAGAAAGTGACCTTATGGGGGTGTCCTTGGGTAGATTTGAGTTAGAAAGAATAAAGGGAAGCATTATAAGCTCCCAATCAGATTTCCAGGTTTGTCTTCAGTATCAATGAAAACTTAGAGGATAATAGATCTCTGAACTGTATGACACTATATGGACTAGCCTCTGTTTGATGCTCTCCACAAAGTAGTCATTTTCCAAACAACAGCACCAATGTGAAAGATAAAATTATCATCACAATAAACTAGAGACCGAGAGAGCTGAAGCTATTATGAGTCTCTCAAGTGGAATGAACATAACCTATAGCATGCCTTAGGAAGATGGTAGATAAGCCAATTTGTGGTCAAAGTAGATTGGTCATCAACACCCCAGAAGTTGTCCCTACAGGTGATCTGATCTCTGGTACATTCACTAAACTAGAAAATGGGGGCTGAATCAGATGATGCCTCAAGTTCATTTCTAGCTTTCTGTTTTCTGGACTATACAATATTGGAGTCACTATTGGTAGCTAATATTCTGGCCTCTGACAGAGTTTCATTTGGGGTGAGATGGCTCTGGTGCCTTTGAGAACAAGCTGATTTTTAACTCTTTACATTTTGATATTTTTTGTTATTCTTACAGGTGGGCATATTACCTTTCCCTGGGTCACTTTGGTAGAAGGACAAATGAGAAAAATATATATATATATATTTTTTAATGAACATTGTAGTTGCTATCTAGGTTGTTGTGGTGCTTGGAAATAGCTTTCAGGTTGGAGGCAAAAAAGCAAGAAGCCAAGTAAGGAAGCTGCCCTCAAGAGAGAAGTCTGGGGAATGGTTCGTGAGAGCCTTTGGCCAAGCCAAATGATACCCAAGTTCCTGACATGCAACTCTGTAACATTTTTTTCATTCAGTGAAAGAGTGATTCTACTGCAGATTCCAATTAGGAACATCTATTATTTTGTCTTTTGGGGCCTCCATGGGTCAAGGGAAATGCATACAAATTACTCAAATCTAGAGAACAAATTTAATCCACCAAGAAACAATATAGAACCAGTTCCCTGACCCTGCTGAGTTCCAAATATCAGCCTTGAGAACATCCCATGTAAAACATTTGATGGAACCTGCTAGTATCTGGGTTGCAAATGAAAACGTGACATTCTGTCTCCAGACTGAATCTATAGAAGGTAACTTTCCACCACCTGTCCTGCTCTCTGGATTTTCTGCTCCAATTTGGACAGATAAGTCCTGGCTTCATTTCCCAAGTCTCAAGAGATTCAAATCTGTCCTCATTGCTTCTCAGCTCTATGAGGTTCTGCCCTGTGACTCAGGTTTAATCAGCAGATTGTAGCCTTGAGGCCTAATTAGGGCTCCCAGCTTCAGCATGGCAATGGATTCTTCAGAAGAGAGTTGAATGACTCTTTGAGCTGTGAGGTCGTATTACAACCCCTCCTTCATTCGCTAACCATGGTAACCTTGAGAAAGCTACTTCACCTATCTGTGCCTCAGTTTACTCATCAGTAAACTGGCAATGAAACTAATAGCAAATAACTTCATAGAGTTGTTGTTAAGGATTAAATGAGTGAATTTACATAAAGCCCTTGGAACAGTGCCAAACACACAGTAAGCGTATATATGTGTTAGCTATGATGATGATGATGATGATGATGATGATCCTTCTACTCCCATGTGACACATGAGGAAACTGAGGCACAGAGAGTTGAAATAATTTGCTTGAGTTCCCACAGCTAGTCCTAAAGCCAATATTTGAGCCCAGGTCTCTTAACCCAAAACCCTTTCTATGCTGAGATGAGACCGCTCACGCAGAAAAACAGTTTAATAGATGTCTTAGAACCAGTTTTAGATAGTGCCAGATTATTCTTCAGAGATGGATTCTGTCATGCATAGGTTTTCTAAATTATTTGCAATTTTACTATTTCTGAGTCTGGTACATAGAGATGCTCAGTTAATATTCATTGACTAATGCATTGTTCTTAGCTTCTTTCTTATTTCCTTACCACAGTGGCTGGAAGATCAATTTAAAGCCATGCTTTAACAAAGACTTGACTTCCACTTCCATTCTGGAAAAGAAATTTTAAAATGCAACAGGTGGTTTTTGAGGTAATTCTAGAGGAAGCATTTACTAGCAGTGAAAGTTTGTTAGGCCCTGGAACCAGTGATGGTAGATCATTTAACAAGCAGCTCTCCAGGACATGGAGGGAAGGGAGCAACCTAATTTGTAGCATTTTCCAATTTCAAATTATCAGCTCCATGTTACTGAATGCAGAAGTGGGAGGAGACACACAGTAGCACACTATTATACAATGTTTCTAACATGCAAATAAAATAGTGCAAATATTTGTTATATGTTACATATATAATGCACATGTATAGTATAGTAATAATATAATAGTAAAATGTAGTAAAATATTTTGGAAATCATGAATTTTTAATAGTTATCACTCTTTATATAATTTGTGAGTACAGGTGCTTCCTGAGGCCTATTCCAGTTACACGTTTGGAGGGTGGGAGACTGGGGAGAGAGCTTGCAGAAAGGGCTAACTATAATTCACAAGCAATCAGAAACTTTAACGTAATGTACGCCTTTGGAGATTTTGTGTATGGCATGGGATAATGTGCCGTTAAAACTCTATCAATGAATAAAGCACTCACTTAGAAAAAAAAAATTATTTGCGGTAAAAAACACAGTTGTGTTAAGTATATTTACGTTGTTGTGAAATAGATCTCCAGAACGTCTTCATCTTGTAAAACTGAAACTCTATACCCATTAAACAACAACTCTTCATTTCTCCCTCCCCCAACCTCTGATACCTACCATTCTACTTTCCATCTCTATGAATTTCACTACTTTAAGTGGAATCATACAGTATTTGTCTTTTTGTGACTAGTTTATTTCACTTAGCATAATGTCCTCAAAGTTCATGTGTAGTATGTGACAGGATTTCCTTCCTTTTTAAGGCTGAATACTATTCTATTGTGTGTGTACACCACATTTTGTTTATTTATCTGTCAGCAGACCTCTTGGCTATTGCAAATATTACCACTAGGAATATGGATGTTAGTTTAATTTTTAATGATGGTTTGATTTTTGACAACTGGCTCACAAATTTCCTGAAAATTGTTTACAATCAGCTCTTGAGAATTGGTGTATGCTGGCTTTAACACATCACTGACTGGAATCAATGATTAGTCTTCACTTGAAGATGTAAAAATTGGGCCAGTTTGCCTGGGAGGATTTAAACCATGCTTCCCACCTACTGGTAGAAATATGTATGAAATTATCAGGAATTTTATTCTTGTGGAATTGCACAACGTGGAACATCCCTAACTTTGAGATAACTTAGCCTTTTTACTCAAGGTATGGCCTGTGGATCAGCAGCAGTTATATTACCTGAATACTTCTTAGAAATGCATGATCCAAGATTCCACTTGAGACCTTCTGAATTGGAATCTCCATTGTAGCAGGGAACCTCTGTGCACTTTAAAACTTGAAAAGTGCACACACACACACACACACACACACACACACACACACACGGCTCCCACATCTTCTACTCCATTATGCAGATGAAAAAATTGAAGTCTAGAGAGGAAAAGGGACTACCCCAAAATTAAAGTGTATGTCAGTGGCAGAACTAAGACCAGAATTTCTCTACCTCATATCTTTTGTTCACATCTGGTTACAAAAATCATATAAAAGATATCATCTGAAGTACATATGGGTGAAATTGTATGATGGTGTGTTTGCCACATGCTTTACAATACTCCAGAAAGGAAGTTTGAAACAAAGTGGTCATGAATTCTTAACTTTTGAAGCTGGGTAATGGGTAAATGGGATTCACTATATGATTCTATTTGTGTATATGTTTGAATATTTCCATATTAAAAAGTAAAAGAGGAAAAGTGGGGGAAATTCTGGTAATATGATAGTAGCTGAAACTAGGTTTTCAGATTATTTGTGGATTTCCCTTACTGGTGGAGTGGGCCATGTCCATAAATGCCCAGCTGTTGCATGGGTCCCAAACAGGAGGGAAGATGGGTTCCAATTCCAGGAAAAGGTGATCCTCTCTCCTTAAGAGCCTGAGTATCTGGTGCTTGCAGCTGTGCTGCATTTTCATCATTAGCATTCTGGTACCTCTACCAAATGAGAGAGGAGGGGGCTTGAAGATGAGCATCAAATTCTGTAAAGCAGAACTTCTCATTACATCCTGACACTCTGAAAGGATGCCCTATCAGGCATCTCCAACTCAAGCTGTTTGGAAAGCATCTATTGCTAGGGATGAACAGAGACTGGGATAGGGGCAAGTAGGGAAATATATCCTCCAATTTGACATTCAGCAAAAGTAAATTTGGGGAGAAGGTAAAAGCCATCCTTTCATATTAGTTCTAAAGATGACAGTATGCTTGCTGGATTTTGCAGAGAGCTGATGGCTGCAAGCCAACAGTGAGAATTGGGAGCAAGAATGAGGTGCTGCATACCTCTCTGGGTAGGCAAGGATTTGTTTTTCATAGGGTTGGAGTAAAATTCAGAGAGTGTGGCTGGTAGACCAGCCCTACTTCAGCATCCTAGCTCTCATTTGATTGACTGACTCTCAGAAGCCACAAAGTCACTGAAGCTTCCCCTTCAGTGCTTCTAAAATTGTCTCTCAGAGCTGCTTCTATTTCTGTTTTAGGGCTATCATAGGAGAAGAGAGGACTATGAAGTTAAAGAATGAGGGGGGCAGTATGACAGGTCTCCCCTTCCAACTGTCTTAGCCTATTTTTGTACTGATATAAAGGAATACTTGAGGCTGGGTAATTTATAAAGAAAAGAGGTTTATTTGGCTCATGGTTCTGAAGGTTGTACAAAAAGCACGGCATCAATATCTGCTTGTAATGAAGGCCTCAGGAAGCTTCTACTCATGGTGGAAGATGAATGAGAGCTGGTGTGTGCAGATCACATGGCAAGTGGAAGCACAAGAGAGACGAGGGAGTGCCAGGCTCTTTTAAGCAACCATCTCTTGCAGAGCTAATAGAGGAAAAGCTCACTCATTACCTTGAGGAAGGCACCAATCGATTGATGAGGAATCTGCACCCATGACCATGCCCCAACACTGGGAATCAAATTTCAACATGAAAATTGGAGGGGTCAAATATCTAAACTATGGCATCAACTGAGTACCACCTTCTGCCCCATCCAGGCTCTGAGAGTGACCTTGTTTTCCCAGCTCAGCATCCATAGCTGACTCCTACACCAATAGAACATTTAACAATATGCCTGCTTGTTGACATGCTCATTTGGTGGATGTACTAGTCCATTTTCACACTGCTATAAAGATGCTACCAGAGACTAGATAATTTATAAAGAAAAGAGGTTTAATTCACTTATAGTTCTGCATGGCTAGGGAGGCCTCAGGAAACTTACAACCATGGCAGAAGGCAAAGGAGAAGCAAGCGCCTTCTTTATAAGGCAGCAGGAAAAAGAGAGTGTGTTTGGGAAGGAGGAACTGTCAAACACTTAATAAAACCATCCGATCTTGTGAAAACTCACTTATAATCATGAGAACAGCATGGGGGAAATTGCCCCTATGATCCAATCACCTCCTACCAGGTCCCTCCCTCAGCATGCAGGGATTATGAGGACTACAAGTTGAGATGAGATTTGAGTGGGGACACAGAGCCAAACCACATCACACAGTCATTTATTCCCTAGTCAGGGCAGATCTGACACAAAATTGTGACCCTCTCCGGCCCTCCCCTAAAGTCTTTTCTGCTTCCTCCTATTCCTGGAAATTAAGAATTTTTATTGTATTGTATGTAAAAGGCATTTTCAACAAAAATGTAATGGCTGGAAAACTACTGGGGTGGAAGAGTGGAGGTAAGTAGGCCTCTGAAAAATGAGTCATCCAGGCTGGAGGTGTGGGTGTGCCTTATTCACTAGGGAAGAGAAGGAGGCCTTGTAATGAGGGAGGGCTGTCTGAGGCAAACTGGAAATCATGTTCCTGACACTCACAGAATGTGCCTAGAACCAGGGCAGTGGTCTTGGAGACCCCTGATTCAGGAGGCAATAAGTTCCAGGGACCCCCAAGCTACAGAGAAGCCTAAGAATGGGGGCTAGGAAATGTACCATTTATACTCTTCTCTAATTTTGTTTGTATTTAGAAGTTTAAAAATGAATTTCCCTCAGGCTAAAGTGTAAGCAGCTTGGCTAGCCTCAAACCAAGCTCAAGTATGCCTGGGTTGCCAAAGATAGCGTGTTCAAGCTATCCAAAAAACTTATTAAAGTGGTGTTGCTGAGAATAAAGCAGGGATGGGTTTTAGATGCCTTCATTCCCATATATACATCCTCTCACCTTATAATAGCCTTCCAGGTCTGTTCTCAGAATTCTGGGACTCCAAAATTGCTGGAGTAGTCTATACTTCTGCTTTTTAAACTTTGTTATTGAAACTTTCAAACACAACAAAAGTACAGAAAACAGTATAATGAACCCCCATATACCCATTATCCAGTTTTAGCAATTAGTAATTTATCTATTTCTCCATTCACTCCCTCACCACACATCTCTGGGTTATTTTGAAGCAAATCCTTGATGTCATCATCTCATTTTATCTCAAAATAGCATGTATCTCTGAATAATATGGAATTGAAATATTATAATTGTAATGCTATTATCAAACCTAAAAACATTCTTAATAACACACAGTATTCATTCGGTGTTCAGATTTTACTGAGTGTCTCACAAATACAATTTTCAACCAGCTGTGTTCCCATAAGAGTACAAAGGTCCGTACATTACAAATGACTGATATGTCTCTTAAGGCTCTGTTAAGCTTAGTTTCTGGGTTTCCTCTCCCTCTCTTTCTCCTTGTCTCTATCCTTCCCTCCTTGTATTGTATTTATTAGGAAAACCTTTTTTTTGTTGTTTTTTGTTTGTTTGTTTTAGCTTTTTGCACAATCTGGTCTGCATTTTACTGACTACACATATTTTGGTATACTGTTCTTTTATGTTATATTCCCTGTAAATTGAGGTGATATAGAGACTTGACCAGATTCCAATTCAGTTTTTTGGCAAAACTCCTTCACAGATACTGTTGTGTCACTCCATCTGGAAGGGTTATCATCTCTTTTCTTTATAGATGAGAGAAACAGATTCAAACCAGGATGAGACTGACCAGAACAGGGCACTCTATGAAGCCCAGGTTTTCTGACTCCCCATCCAGTATTATTTGTGCTGTGCCACATACCACTGGGTTCTTGAGCGAGGCACTTCATGAATAGGTCAGGAAGACCGCACTGGGAAGAGCTGCCTACTTTTTTCTGTTTTAAGCAGAACATCCTGTTAGTTTCCTAAGGCTCTCTGGCTCCCGCTCCAGTCCAGTATTACTATGGCATAGTTTCAGAAGTCCCCATCTGAAAAAATAGGCCGAGGTTGGTTTCCCTATTTGTTCTGGAAAATCTCAGAGTGGGGCAAGATGGTCTTTCAATATGGGGGAAAAAAGGGGCTGTTGGGCTCAGAACAGCAAGGTGGGATGTGCTTGCAAACTGGTGAAACTGGGTGGGTGAGCCTACTGCCCTACTTTCTAGGAGGAGTATCCTGGGCTTAGTTCCAATGGATTGGAGAGAAGAAAGGGAAGGGAGACAGGGGAGAGGCAGGAGAAAATATGGAGCATAGAATTCTGGGGAATCACCTTGAAGGAAGAGGTCAGCGTCTGGTGCTACTGTTCTTTGTGGAATGGAAGCAGGGGGTTCTGGCCTAGATAAGAAAAACCCTTTCTACCTGGAGATTACTCTTTAGCAAGTTCAAACACTTAATGAAAAGATTGGTTTGTCTACTAGTTTCTGTGCATTTTAGATTCCCATAATGTTTCAAGGGTCCAGGTGGGCTATTTATTAAGCATAGGTGCTTCAGAAAGTCTGAAGTCCTGGACAGATGCTAGGAGGTCTTCTTCATCTCCCAGCCTTCCTAAGAGATCCCACAATTTCCTTCCCCTCAAGTTCTGTTTCTTTTTCCACCAACCTTCACCACAGGGTTGTCCTTTCTCAGAGTTAATTCAAATCCTTCCTGAAAAAGCACAAACCCATTTTCTCTTCTCCTTCACAGAGAAGACTAGCAGCCCTACCTATAGTAATAACTCAAGGGCTTAATAATCTAGTTCAGACCTCTGTCACATCCCAGGCTAATTATTGCACTAGCTTATCTCTCAGCCTCATCTTTCACTCCTTCTGTCATCATTATCTAATCTGTGGCCAGATTAATCTTCCCAAGGAACAGCACTGCACATGACCAAGGAGATGCCGAGCATCATAGTTTAACATGTAGGCTCTGGGAACCAGACTCCCTGCTTGGAAAACTATCCTGGTTGGGCTACTTCCAAGCTGTATGACCTCAACTTATCAGGGCCTCAGTTTCCTCATTTGTAAAATAGAATGAACAACCTTTGTGTTTGTGAAGATTAAATTAGTTGGTCTGTATGAGGCACATACATAATTTAGGCTTTGGTTTATACATTTCTATGCCTGAACTAATCATTCCTTACTGTCCCTCCATTTCTGTTTCTTGAAATACTCCCATGATTCTAAGTCTAGCTCAGATGCTACCTCCTATATGAAACCTTTCCTGGGCTCTTAAGTTGGAAGCAATCTTTTTCTTTCCTATATTTACAGAAAAATTTTGTTTGTACAGCTCTTATGACATCCCCACATATTGCCACATCCTGTCATCATTTACATGTGACTACCTTAATGGGATTATCTTAGGGGTAATTATCTGAAATACACCTACTATTCGGTCCAATGCTCAATCAGTGGGTATTATTTCTGTATGTGTTGCTGTTTAAATCAAAGGTTCGCCAGGAGGCAGAGGTTGCAGTGAGCCAAGATGACACCACTGCTCTTCAGTGTCAGTGACAGACTGAGATTCCATCTCAAAAAAAAAAAAGAAAGAAAGAAATCAAAGGTTCTCACTCTGACTGTACACTGGGATCACCTAAGGATATTTAGAAAATACTTAGTCCTGACTCCTATATCTAGAAATTCTTCCATAATTGATCTGGGGTGGGGACTGGAAATTTATAATTTTTAAATCTTCCCAGGTGACTCTGATGCCTAGCCAGGGCTAGGAATTTCTGGTTTAAAAAGTTTAGCAACATATGTGCAATTATGTAAACCTCACAACAACATTGGTAGGTTACACTGTAAGTGTATTAGTCTGTTCTCACACTGCTAATAAAGACATACCAAAGACTAGGTAATTTATAAAGGAAAGAGGTTTTACTGACTCACAGCTCTACACGGCTTGGGAGGCCTCAGGAAACTTACAATTATGGTGGAAGGGGAAGCAAATACATCCTTCTTCATATGGAGGCAGCAAGGGGAAGTGCCAAGCAAAAGGGGGAATATTCCCTTATAAAACCATCGAATCTTGTGAGAACTCACTCACTATCATGAGAAAAGCAACATGGGGGTGCCTGCCTTCATGATTCAATTACCTCCCACTAGGTCCCTCCCATGACATGCTGGGATTATGGGAACTACAATTCAAGATGAGATTTGAGTGGGGACACATCCAAACCAATTATTCCACCCCTGGGCCCTCCCAAGTCTCATGTCCTCAAAACACACATTTCAAAACACAATCATACCTTCCCAACAGTCCCCCAACATCTTAACTCATTCCAGCATTAACCCAAAAATCCAAGTCCAAAGTCTCATCTGAGACAAGGCAAGTACCTCCCACCTATGAGCCTGTAAAATCAAAAGCAAGGTAGTTACTTCCTAGATACAATGAAGGTGCAGGAATTGTGTAAATACACCCATTTCAAATGGGAGAAAATTGCCAAAACAAAGGGGCTACAGGCCCCATGCAAGTCTGAAATCCAATAAGGCAGTCATTAAATCTTAAAGTTTCAAAGTTATCTCCTTTGACTCCATGTCTCACATCCAGATCACTCTATAGTAAGAGTCCCAGTGGCGACTCTGTGTGGGGGCTCCAACCCCACATTTCCCTTTTGCACTGCCCTAGCAGAGGTTCTTCATGAGGGCTCTGCCCCTTCAGCAAACTTATTCCTGGACATCCAGGTATTTCCATACATCCTCTCAAATCTAGGTAGAGGTTCTCAAACCTCAATTTTTTACTTCTGTGCACCCACGGGCCCAACACCACATGGAAGCCACCAAGGCTTGGGGCTTACGTCCTGTGAAGCAATGGCCTGATCTGTACTTTGACCACTTTTAGCCATGGCTGGAGCTAAAGCACCTGGGATGCAGGGCACGATGTTCCAAGGCTGTACTAAGCGGGGCGGGGAGGGGGGGTTGGGCCTTGCCCATGAAACCATTTTTTCCACCTAGGCCTCCAGGACTATGATAGGAGGGGGGCTACCGTCAATGTCTCTGAGATGCCCTGGAGACATTTTCCCCATTTTCTTGGTGATTAACATTTGGCCTCTCATTACTTATGCAAATTTCTGTAGCTGGCATTAATTTCTCACCAGAAAATGGGTTTTTCTTTTTTTTCTTTTTGAGACAGAGTCTTGCTATATCACCCAGGCTTGAGTGCAGTGATGTGATCTCAGTTAACTGCAATCTATGCCTCTTGGGTTCAAGTGATTGTCCTGCCTCAGCCTCCTAAGTAGCTGGGGCTACAGGCACTCACCACCACCCTCAGCTATTTTACTTTTACTTTGTGTGTGTGTGTGTGTCTGTACTTTTAGTAGAGATGGTGTTTCACTACGTTGACCAGGCTGGTCTTGAACTCCTGACTTTGTGATCTGCCAACCTCAGCCTCCTAAAGTGCTGGGATTACAGGCATCAGCCACCATACCCAGCCAGGTTTTTCTTTTCTGCTACATTGCCAGACTGCAATTTTTCAAAGTATTATGCTCTGTCTCCTCTTGAATGCTTTGCTCCTTAGAAATCTCTTCAGCCAGATACCCTAAATCATTTCTCTCATGATCAAATTTTCACAAATCTCTAGGGCAAGGGCAAAATGCACTTATGCCTAGCAAGAGTGACCTTAACTTTAGTTCCCAACAAGTTTTTCATCTCCATCTGAGACAACCTCAGCCTGGACCACTATCAGTATTTTGGTCAAAGCCATCTATCAATATTTTGGTCAAAAACATTCAGCAGGTCTCTAGGAAATTCCAAGCTTTCCTATATCTTCTTGTCATCTTCTGAGCCCTCTAAATTGTTCCAACCTCTGCCTATTTTCCAGTTCCAAAGTTGCTTCCACATTTTTAGAAATTTATAGCAGCACCCCACTAGCCACTACCAATTTATTGTATTAGTCCTTTCTCACACTGCTAATAGAGACATACCTAAGACTGGGTAATTTATAAAAGGAAGAAATTTAATTAACTCACTGTTTCACATGGATGGGGAGGCCTCAGAAAAGTCACAATGAGTGCAGAAGACAAAGTAAACATGTTCTTCTTCACATGGTGGCATCAAGGAGAAGTGCCAAGAAAAAAGGGGAAAATCCCCTTATAAAACATCAGATCTCAAGAGACTCACTCACTATCATGAGAAAAACAGCATGGAGGTAACTGCCCCCATGATTCAATTATCTCCCTCCAGGACCTTCCCACAACATGTGGGGATTATGGGAACCACAATTCAAGATTATACCTGGGTAAGAACACAGCCAAATTATCATTAAGTTATTACTAATACTGCTGTGTAAATACTTATATTAAGGTTCAAACAGGGTAACATGACTACTCCAAGGTGACAGAAATGTTAAGTGGCAGAGTGGGAACATGTAGATAGGGTTTTTAACTCAAAGTTCAGTGGTGTGTCCTCCAGAACACAGACCTCCTACCACATTGGTTGCTTCTCAAGTTCAAGGATGTTTCTTCAAGGTAAGAAGTGTATCTTCAGGGTCAGAAACATGCTATCAAGTCAGGATATGTGGTTTTTTCTTCTCTGTACTCTCAACATGTGACATGGAGCCTTATCCTGAGGGAGCAATGGTGAAGAATAAAATGCCCTGATTACTCATGAGTGAAGGGAGAAGAGAAAAGGTAGATAGGTGGAGGGTGCTGGGGCAGACATTTTGAATAAAGGCAGAAATGCAGAAGCATAATCTTCTGATTCCTAATTCAGTGTTATTTCCACTATATCTCACCACTTTTCCCAGATTAAATAAATAAATAAATAAATAAAATTGAGGAGAGACATCAAAAGGTGGTGAAATGGGACTCTGCAGTAATAGCCCTCCTACCGAAACATCAGTTCAAACCACAGTCCAAAGATGAAAATACCTTCACAAGAGCTAAGCAAACCACAGCACCTGATTATAGCACAGTAACAAGAAAAAACACATGGAAGTGGGTAGGAAGGCGAGTCTTATATGACTCATGTCACCCCTCCCTCAACCACAGTCCAGACAGTGCAGAAATATTTTACTTGCTTGGGGAAAAGAAGGAAGTGAGCACAGATCTTTTCTTTAGACCCTAACACTGGGTCTGCCACGTTAAAATTAAGCAGCAGGCAGCTCACCAGGGCTCCACACTCCAGACAGGAACTTGCAAACTGAGTCACCAAACCTATCCTGGTGCCAGATGGGACTTCACAGCCCCAGGCTTTAGATCTGTGAGGCAGGGTCTATTTCCAGTCTGCACCACTTCAGGGCCAACATCACTGACCCTGGGAACCAGGGTCTTCTCACCAAGGACATTCCTCACACAAATAGAAAAGAAAATGCTAAAGTTTGTATGGAAACATGAGAGATCTTGAATAGATAAAGCAATCCTGGGCAAAAAGGACAAAGCTGGATGCATCACACTTACCTGACTTCAAAATGTACTACAAAGCTATAGTAACCAAAACAGCATGGAAAGGGCATAAAAACAGACACATAGAGCAAGGAAACAGAATAGAGAATGCAGAAGTAAATTCACACATTTACAGCCAAATGATTTTTTTTCTATAAGTTATTGGGTTACAGGCGGTATTTGGTTACATAAGTTCTTTAGTGGTGATTTGTGAGATTTTGGTGCACCCATCATATGAGCAGTATACACTGCACCATATTTGTAGCCTTTTATCCCTTGCCCCCCTTCCCCTCTTTTCCCCAAGTCCTCAAAGTCCATTGTATCATTCGTATGCCTTTGCATCCTCATAGCTTAGCTCCCACATATCAGTTAGAATATATGATGTTTGATTATCCATTCCTGAATTACTTCACTTAAAATAATAATCTCCAATCTCATCCAGGTCACTGAAAATGCTGTTAATTTATTTCTTTTTTGGACAGCCAACTCATTTTTGACAAAGGTGCCAAGTACACACATTGAGGCAAAGATGGTCTCCAGAAATGGTGCTTAAAAACTGAATATCCACATGCATAATAGTTAAATTAGGCTTTGATCTCACTTCATATACAAAAGTCAATTAAAATGGATTAAAGACTTAAGTATAAGACTCTAAACCATGAAAATACAAGAAAAAAACACAGGGGAAAGTCTCCATGACATTGGCTTTTTGGATATGACCCTGAAAGTACAGGCAACAAAAGCAAAATAAACAAATGGGATAGCATCAAATTGGAAAGCTTTTGTACAGCCAAGGAAACAATCCCGAGTGAAGAGGCAACCACCTACAGAATGGGAGAAAGTATCTGTAAAACTTGTATCTGATAAGAAGTTAATTTCTACAATATATAAGAAATTCAAACAACTCATTAACAAGAAAACAAATAACATGATTAAAAATGGGCAAATGACAAAAAGAATAAAATATGTAGGAATACAGCTAACCAGGGATATGAAGGATTACCACATGGAGTACTATAAAACACTGCTCAAAATAATCAGAGATTGTATAACCAAATGGAGAACCATCCCATGTTCATGGATAGGAAGAATCCATACTATTAAAATGGCCATATGACCCAAAGCAATTTATAGATTCAATGCTATTTCTATGAAATTACCAAGAACATACTTCATAGAACTAGAAAAAAACTATTTCAAAAGACATATGGAACCAAAAAAGAGCACAAATAGTCAAGGCAGCTCTAAGTAAAAATAACAAAGCAGGAGGCATCATGCTACCTAACTTCAAACTATATTACAGGGTTACAGTAACCAAAAAAGCATGGCACTGGTACACAAACAGACACATAGACCAAAGGAACAAAATAGAAAGCTCAGAAATAAGGCTGCACACCTACAACTATCTGATCTTTGACAAAGCTGCCAAAAACAAGTAGTAAGGAAAAGACTCCCTATTCAATAAATGGTGCTGGGATAACTATAAAAGTCCTGGAAGACAAACTAGGCAATACTATTCTTGACATAGGAATGGGCAAATATTTCATGGCAAAGATGCCAAAAACAATTGCAACAGAAGTAAAAATTGACAAATGGGATATAATTAAACTAAGTACTTCTTTACAGCAAAATAAACTATTAACAGAGTAAACAGACAACGTACAGGATAGGAGAAAATTCTAGCAAACTATACATTTTACAAAGGTCTAATATCCTGCACCCATAAGAAACTTAAATGTACAAGAAGAAAAAAACCAGCCCCATTAAAAAGTAGGCAAAGAACATGAACACTTTTCGAAGGAAGATGTACATGCAGCCAACAAGCATATGAAAGAAAGCTAAATATCACTGATCATTAGACAAATGCAAATCAAAACGACAGTGAGATACCATCTCAC